AAAATAAATTATTATTCTTTTTATTTTTATAATATAAATAAACACTTAAGTGTCATGTAAACGCAATTTGTTATTGCGATCATATGACTTTACTAGCATTAATTCATGTTATGGAGGGTGTGTGAATACTTTTGTCCACCCTCTATAATTTTACCTTTTTCTGAGTTTTATAAATTTTTAATAAGGTTTTAATATAATTTTATCAAATTTTTTTTTACTATTAGATGATTTGCAAAATTTTTAAACTGTAATTATAATATTATTTATTACTAATAGTAATTAGTTGTAACATTATTTTTAGTTTTAACAGTTAACTTATCTAAATATTAAATTTTTTTTTTTTGAATTTTAATTAAAATAATTATTTCATTAAAATATATTTTTTAGAATAGTTTTTTTTTAAAAGTAAAAAATTTGCATTTATTTCTTTATTTTAATATTAATATTATTAGTTTTTTTTTTTAAATATAATATTAATTCTATTTATACTGTATAAAAATATTTCAATTAATTAATTTTAGTAAATTATTAATATTTATTATAAAAATTAGCTAATAATTTATCTTTTATTGATACTTTATTTTTTTTTTTATTTTTTAAAAGAAAAAGCAAATTATTTGTTTTATTTTTTTATATAATAATAATAATTGTATTTTTTCATATTTAATACTGCTAAATAAATTTTTTTTTTAAAAAAAAATAAATAATGAATTTGAAATGGCTTAATAAAGGTAATGTATTATTTGTTTTTATAAATAAAAGATCTTTAAATAACTGATGTTTATGCATTATAAATAAAGGAATAAAAATTCACCCTTAAGATTAAATTAAAAATTATTTAGGAAAAGCGAAATGTCTATCATTTTGTAGTGTTTTACCATATATATCTAAAAAAACGCGAGAAGAATTTCTTTTTTTTTTAAAAATATAATTTCATGATAAAAATGCTAAATTTAGTAATGATTCGTTTTAATACTATATATTTTTAATTGGTATTAATGAAATTATTTTATTAACTTTGCTATAGTCATTAATTAAAAATTTACACGCAATAAATCCATTTCATATCTTATCATAAATGTAAAGTTTATAATTATCCTTGCATAACCCAATAAAAAGTACGGCCGAGCTGTAAAACTCGGTAACTCGATATAGGATTAATAGATAAGAAAGTAATCTTATCAAAATTTGATCTACTGATCTATAAAGAAGAAAAAGAAAAAACAAAAAAAAAAAAAAAGAGTTAAAATTGACGTGTTTCAGCTATCTCTTACGGTTCTTTTTAAGTATTGTCACTTTTGATTTAGATAAATTTTGCGAAAAGAAAAAAAAAAAAACTATATCTTTATGGAGGGTTCATATCAGAGTTTCATAAATTTTGTGGTTAAATTAATGTAAAACCACTTAAACACTTACTAAAAAGAAATCCCTCCCGGATAAAACTAACCGAATGAAATGAAATCCGTGTTATCTTTCTTTTTTTTTTTGATTTTTATATTGTGGTCATGTACAGTATATAAAGTTTCATTGACATATAAACCAAATTGGTTAGGATTGATTTTTAATTCAACTTCGATAATAAAATTGACTACTTTAAAGTTTGTATATTGTCGGAATTTATTTTTTCCTCTACTAATTAGACAATATACCAGGCAAAAAAAAAGTCTAATGAACTGTACAGTTTTAATACAGGGATTTCCCCACAAATAAATTGATTTTTATAATGTTCATTTAATATAAATACGCGGCCATATAAACGAAAAAAAAAAAGATTTAATTTTTATTTTTTTTTTGATTTTTCTGAAAAAATAAAAATACAAAAGAAAAAAAACCTTTTTGCTCTCACAATAATAATAAAATAATATGTCTTCAAATCCTAACAGAGTATTTAATATTATACTTAACTTTGGAGCACCATCTCCGAGAATTGTTAATCAAAGAAGACAGAGAAGACGAATCGCTCACGGAACGCAAAGAAGAAATACGACATATGTAAATTTTGCGAACTTTCCTC